AAAAGTATGTTGATATACACCTATTCCACTGTGTAAATCAACATACATTTTTTATGATCACTTAACTTATAAAGTAACAGGCTTTTGAAGAGGTAGATTCAAACCCTGGAAAGGAAGAACTTAAGCAAAGAAACGGAAATTATTGTCTTAAGTCAGCACGAGGAGAACAATTCAGCAAACATGAGAAGCCCAAAGTGTTTCAAAGAGCCTGGGCCAAGGATTCCAGGGGCAAGAGCCCTTCTGCTGTCACCAGGCTTCAGAGTCACGCACCACATCTGTGTGTTATGTTCACAACGAGCATGGTGCCCAGTGGCCTGGTTACACCTGGTAAACTCTGACTGAAGGATGCAAGGAAATGAAGGAGCCAGTTCAGAAAGATAAAAGCTCATGCTTCAGTGTGGACGTGTTGCCTCTAGAAGGAAAAACAAGCAACTATTTGGAGAGTGTAGGGTACTGTGAAACCCAGAAGATCTGGGCACTAACTGGTGGTGTGACCTTGCATTTATTACTGAACTTCTCTGATTCTAAGTTTTTCCATCTGTAAAATAGGACAACTGATACCTATTTTGCAGAAATATTGTGAAGATGATATATAATGTATGTAAAAGTGCTTTGCGTGGTGTCTGACAAAACGGGTGTTTAATAAATAGCTGCCATTGATGATAGTAATAATAAATGAGATACTCATATTTATTTCCGTGTCATTATAAAGGCTTAATTCTAAAAGATGCTGCATGCTGCAACTAAAGATCCCGCATGTCACAATGAAAATCCAGCACGCAGCAACAAAGATCCTGCATGCAGCAACTAAGACCTGGCGCAGCCAAATAAATAAATATTTAAAAGAAAAATAAAGGCTTAATTGGAAAAAGGTTTTAATGAAAGGCAGTACAAGGTAAAGGTCACTAAACTGACTTCCTTTTTGAGTCTGTGTATACAAGTTAGATTCATGTTCTCAATCTTTGAAACCCTGAATGGTTTTATCAAATTTAATTTTTCCTGGCTTAATGAAAAATGAAGACAGATTGATCTTGAATACCTCTCTGTAAGTGACCTTGAAAACTGTGTTGTTTTTTTCCAAATAACATTTTATTACAGAAAAAGCATCCCAAATATAGGATTTCATAAACACTGATAAGTGAACAAGTGCAACTTTAAAAGTAAATACAAAGTAAAGAGGCAAAACCTACAAGCATTTTGCCTTTAAGAGAAAATGTAATGCTCTCCTACAGAGGCGATCCCACCCAGAGCACAAATGTGGCTCCATCTTGTGTAAAGACATCAGGTTTGCTTTCTGAACTATGCCCAGTTTAACAATTTCAAAATGATAGCAAGAAGTGGCACGGAATAAATCACTAAGACCAATTAGCTTTCTATTGACTATTACTCAATAAAGGCTCCCCATCACACTTTGACAATATAAAGCCGAAAACTGTGCTTTTTTTAAACAAAATAGGTATTCATCCATAACAGAATGTGCGTGTGTGTGTGTGGGGGGGGTGTTAATGTGTGCTTTTCCGCATCTGTGTGCGTATATGCTTTAAGCCTGATGTACAAGGAATTCCTCCTCACCCATGGTCCCAAAAGGCCATGGGACCCAAAAGGTCCCTTGGTCTCAAGTTACCAGGGATTCCTTGAGTCAGGAAGACGTAGTACATCTGAAAAATAATCTCACACTAAAAAATTAGTATTATGACTTTTTTCCTGTTAGTAGTATTTGCATTTTAAGAGTGAATCTCCCTAAAAAAGAAAACTCAAAGAAATATCTCTTAGAATCTAGGAAATGCAAACAGCATTGCTACAAAGATTTTGACACAAAGACTTTGTATGCTGGTAGCAGAATATTAGTTGTCTGTGACAATAAGGGGATAGAACTCTTCCTTAATTCCCCTCAGGTCCAGCTCCACGGGTGACTTTTTACTGCAGCTTAAGATCAGTCTGGTTTCGAGTAAGAGATCTGCTTTTGGCCTCACAACTCCAGGGTAATTGCCATGTGCGTGCATGTGTATGTGTGTGTGTGTGTGTGTGTGTGTACATGTACGAGCATGGAGACTTCAAGTCAATAAACTGCACCATTAAAATCTCAGTAACACTGAGGGTCCACCTGCCAAATTAGACCTCACACCTGGCTTGCTTCTTACTGGTGTGAAACGTGGGAATGAGCGGGGAGGAATCCCATGTGCAGGCTCCCAGGCAAGGCGGGCTCTGCTTACCTTTCTTTGGTCTGGGTTTCACTGGCAAGGACTCCTGTTTTTCCATTGCTGCTTCTCTTTCTTTCCATCGGCGGACCTGCTCCTCCCTCATCTTGAAGAACAGGATCTGTTTCTGTTCTTCGCTGAGCTCTGCCAGCAGATCAGGATCTATGTACATCTCCGACAGTATCTGTTTCAGCATCTTTGCAAGGGTGGAGTCTTTTACACCTGTGGCAAAAGTTCTTGAAAATGGCTTCCAGGGCTGCCTTCACCTGGGCTGGCCCTGGGAGGCACCGGCAGACCTTCTCCGAGACTCGAGGGGCTGGGACAGTAATTCAACAAACTGGCTCTGGGTTCCCGGCACCAAGCATCCTGTCCAAAACGCCACTCATGAACCTGCAAAGAGCAACAGGCAAAATGCAGGCCATGTTAAAAAGTGTTAAAATGTGCAGACATGGGGCCAGGACAGGAATAAAGCTTGGAGGAAATACAGTATTGCTTTTCATTTCACAAGAAACCTGAAGCAAGCTTTGTTAAGAGTTTGTGTAACCTGTATCCTGTAATTTCCAAAGATACTTTATCAAAAAACAAAACAAAACAAACCCTAACAGGTCAATCTCAGGGAAACAAAAAAATGAACAGAGGTTTGGCCTTCTCCCAACTAAGCAAATATACTATTACCTCAGAGCCCAACAAACCACTACGTCCATGGCTAAGAACAGAGTTAAAGAGACAAAGGCACAGGGAAAAATTAAAAGAAGTTATTTCAAAAGGAAATACCGTTTTTGAGATTTCTCAGAATTACCCACCCAAACCCAAACCAAACCTAAGCCATGCTCAAGGAAGGAAAAAGAAGAAATAAAAATTAGACCACAGTGCCATTTTCCCATTTCTCCTTAAAAGTAGCACTAAATAAACACAAGTATGTACTTTCGTCTTCACAAAAGGACAATACAATGTTCAGACAACACACTAGAACCACGAAAACTGTGCAGGTGCAGGAGAGAACATTCATGTACCTTTTGGAAGGTCACCAGGTTTTAGGTGTACCTCTTCCAGATAACCTAATTTAATAGGATCTAAATTTACAGACCAGATAAACTGGGGGAGTGGAGGTGATCAGGCTCATCACAAAGGGTCCTGGCTCTGTAAGAGAGTTTCTCAGAGAAAGGAACCTTGGACCTAAGCACACAGGTTGTTTTACGGGGGTGCCTACCCCACTGCGGTTTCATTCTACTTCACACGTTTCTATTTGGTCTATTTAAAAAAATATACCAAACCTTCATATTTTTGTAATCAGAAGGAAATAATGTATAGATTTCCATTCTGAAAAAAAAAAGATGTTTATTTGGTTCCAGTATAATAGGATACACAAAAAAAGCTTACTTATTTCGATTTTCCAGGATCACCTATGTTCTAAGAAACTGATGAATCTTTTTGTGCTTAAGATGCCTCAATAATCCCACCACCTAGCCACGCCCCCTCAAATATCTTTTTCTCCAAACTAAGTTCAAATGCTCTTAAACCTCCGACTAGTCACTTAGCCACACCATGGCTCTCCCAGTTCCATCACCTGGTCCTTCTCCAGCCAGACTGTGATGCTCCTCTCACCCCTGGGAGGGCCCTGCAGCTTCACCTTTTCATACTCCTCCTCATGCATCCGTTTCTCCATTTACACCAGTCTTCCAAGAGAAGCATGAGCAACAGCCCAAGAGCCAGGGTACCCAGAGTGGTTTGCATACACAACACATAGCTTGATTCACTAACGAGTCATTGTGTAGCAGGGACCACGACTCCCGCTAACTGCATCCTACAATCTGTGGCATTCAACTACCAAAACTCAAATGGAACACAACGTTAAGAGAAAATTTTAATTAAAGGCACTGTCTGACTTTAAGTCAGTCAGCCATGCCCACCCCAGGCTCCCTGGCTAGCTTTGTATTTTGCTTTGAGGTGATCTTCAAAGGCTGTAACAGCTACAGTACTGAAGTTCTGTGATGCTTTCTTGACTCTTGGGTCTCACAGCTTCTCCAGGGGTGGGCCAACTAAATCCACACTAAAGGGAGGTTTCCTGAGGCTGAGTTCTTATCTGTAGGTGTCAGAACTGCAGGAAGAATGCAGGTCCTCAGCTCACTGGACTCCAGTGCTCCCAGACCAAGTGGTAAGAAACCAAAGTGAATGAGTCCTTGACATTCCGGTAAATGTCCTTATGCTGGCACATTCCTTGAGCAGGGGTTGACTTTCACAGAAATTAAACATGGGGAGGGGAGCAGCCCAGTGAAGCTGGAGGCTTCCACTCTGTTTCCCAGTTTGAATCGGGTGACTCCCAGCAACAGGGACAGTGTGGGCTGAGCCTAAAAACTAAAACCCTGAAAGGGCCAAATCCCCCCCGACTTCCCCACCCAGAGCGCTCCTAGTCACAAGTGCTGACACCTGCCGCGCAGCCACTACCTTGAGCGCTTGACATGCAGTAACTAATGAATCTTCGCCATAATCTTGGAGTTCAGTCCCTCACTATCCCCATTTTATAGAAGATGGAAAGGCGTACTCCGGGCGGTCTGGCTCCAAGTCAATAGAGCCGAGTCTGTGAACCCAGAATCAGAGCATCATCGGGATGCGGTACAACTGGTGAAGTTTTAGAAGGAAAACCAGCAAGTTCTCGTGAGAGCGGAAACGCTGACCCGAAAGCACATGAGACAGGGTCCCTCTCGGGGGCAGAAGCCTCACCCCTGCAACTACAGGTGAGCTCAGGGGAGGCCAGGTACTGAAAAGCCCCCACCCCAGGAAGGACAGCAGGAAATGACCGCCATGCCGGCCCAGGCGTGGATGATGCTGCCCACGGCATTCACCGGGCACTCAGTCTCCTTGGCTCCCCCTCCCACTGTCCCTGGGAGCAGCACGGGCGGGTTGTGGGGTGCAGGGCTGCTCTGCACCTTGGGGATGACACGTTCAAGCTCTCACAGCTTCCATTTTGTGCTGTTTCACCTTTTGTAGCAAACATGGGGGTTTTTGGCATTAAAGATAACTAGTGGACCTTAAGGGAAAGACACTGGCTTCCCTCTGTCCTCAGAGAAAACTTGGGGACCCAGCTGACAACATTCTTGTGGGGCGAGGCTGCTGAGTAATACGCACTGCCTGCCACGCTGAGGCTGTGGACTCCCAGTGGTGTGAACGAATGCCTTCCTCAAATACAGCTCAGGCCACTTACGGGATGGCCAGCTCTACCTTGCGGGCTGTGTGTCTCTGGGCTGCCACTTCACTTCCCTGTAGTGAGTTTCCTCACCGTGAAATAAGCCTGAACTGTGACTCTTTGTAATCTGAGGTCTAGGCCATATAATCTAGCGGGGAGTTACGGAGACAAGTGGAGCCAGAGTAGAGGAAGCAGAAATGAGGAAATTAACTGACCAGGGTTTCCCCACTTTATCCCGGACAATCAGTGCTGCTACTGATTCAAACGGGCATGACTTACCGTGTCTAACACCCTGAGGGCAGTAGGCTTCCATTTATGCAAGATCCAGTAAAAAGGAAAGCTCGGCTAACTCGGTTTTCTTCTTGTACAACACTTTTCTTAAAAGATAGAAATGACAAGCAACAAGTCCACATCTGCTACTTTTTCCAAAAATAAATTTCTAATGGGTCACAGTTGTCTTTCTGGATGCCTAGAGATGTGGCCTAGCTCTCACACTTTCCAGGGCCACTGTCCTATTTTTTTAATTGTATTTTTAATGACTCTGAGACCTTACCCAAAATGCCAGAGATACAGCCAAATCAATAATAAAAATAGGGATATGGATGGTATAACTTTAATGGTAAGAATATAGTTTGAATTCTAATTCTTTTAAAACAGCCAGCTCTGTTTTCAGACTTTCAGTTGTCTTACTCAACTTTATGTTATTAATCTATCTGCATAAGGGCTATCTTTGAGGATAAAATGAATTGCCAAGGGTGACAGCAATTTGGTAAATTTTGTAAATATACACCCCCTTCAGAAATTTGAAATCACTGTACACGGATTTACCCAGAAACTCCACTCATGCCAGATCTATGCCCACATACGCCTTCCACTTACTTCTTCACTCAAAACAAAACAAAACAAACAAAAAAAAGTGTATCCAAGTCGTTGTTTCTATTAAGCAGGCAGTCAAACAAAGCCCTTTAGGAGGCGAGCAGGGACTAAGTTTAGAAAGAGGGGAGCTCGCCTGCCTCCTTCCTGTGACTCTTGCGGGGGAAAGACGACTCTGAGCGAACCTGCACAGTGACTCGCAGCTGCCCCTCACGCCACCCCGGGGGCGCCCGGCGAATCCGAGGGCGAGGGAAGGTCACCGCCGGGCCGCCTGCGGCCACCGTCCGGGCCCGTCTTCCGGGTGCGGCGCGCCCACCCCGGGCCCCGCGCCTTTCCCCCCCGCGCCCACGGCGCCCTCGAAGGAGGGAAGCGTCCCCGCCGCCCGGCCCGCGCGCGCCCGGCAGGCCGTCGTCCCCCGCCCGCGACCCCACCCCGCCGCCCGCGCGCTCCCTCCCGGGCAGCCCCGCGCGCACCCCTCGGGGACCTGGCCCGGAGCCGGAGCTGCCCGTGCGCCCCGCGGCCCCGCGCGCCCCTCACCACGACCACCGGCCTGGCCCTCGGCGCCGCGGCTCTCCCGCCGTTGCTGCGACACCGGACACCCGACACCGGACACCGCTCCGCCCGCACCTGAGCCCGCCGGGCGGAGGAGCGTGGGGCCGACCGGCGGGACTCGGACCCGCGGGAACCCCCGCGCTCGCTGGCTCCTCCCGGCCCTTCCCGGCCGCCTCCAGCCTACGCGGGGCTGGGCCGCCCAGGGCCGTCGGGCGCCGAGGGAAGGGAAGGCGTGGGCCGAGCACGTCCCCGCCCGCCCCGCCCGTGGTCCAGGTCCGCCCGGGCCGCCCGCACCTGCGGCCGACGGGGCTCATCCCTCCACGCGTGTCCCGCGGGCCGCGGCGGGTCCCGGCCGGGCGCCGGGCGTCCTGGCAGGTGGGGCCCAGGCAGGCGGGCAGGACCTTCTCAGCTGCACGGCCTGAGCTTCTGCTACGGCGTCGCTGGAGCTCACTTTTTTTTTTTCTTTCCCTTTTGTTGACCTGAAGTAAATTATCAAACTCTCCGGCGCTTGTCTGTACGGGTGTGGCTTCGTAGGAAGCCAGGACCAAGGAGGAGAAAGGCTGGAAAAGATGAAGACAGCGGAGAGGGGGGAGAAAATGAAAGAAACGCGGCGAGAAGGAAAGAGGGTAAAGGAAGGCCGTGGACTGCGGCCAGGCCAGGTCGGGGTGTTGCACGGGGGAGGAGCTGGCTGCGGACGGAGAAGGAAATCTGGGAGGACAGTTCAGCAGAAGCAGAGTGGAAACGTTGGAGGGTATTTTACGTCTAGAGGAACGTTCAGAATGTGTGAAGCAAACAGCCTGCTTTGGTGACGCCCAGGTCGCAGGTGTCCGGGAGAGAGGCTGTAAACAGTGAGTGTGGACCTCGTCTACGCAGCCCACCTGACTTGCTCCTTCAGAAATGAAACCCATTTCTAGCCTCTCCAAACCTCGGAAGATACTCAAAGGTAGAACCTGGGGGCAGAGGTCAGGACTCCCGAGGAGCTATTTAAGAACTATTCTAGGGATCCTATCAGGGAAGAATTTCTGGTTGGGTTTGGTTCCCAGTGCTTATTAAATGAATGGCCTGTAGGGTGTTTCTGGCCGGAGTGTCATTTGCCCCCCGGCTAGCTGCTGTGGCCAACTCAGAGTGAACACTAACACTGTATGGTGGAGCAGTTGAAGAACTACGAAGTTAGCATTTGACACATCCGAGAAGCATTTAATGAATACCTGCTGGGTGCCACGCCCATGGTGACACTGGGACCCACGGGGAGCAGGCAGCCTGGGCCCTGCTGCCGTCCTCGGGTCAGCACTGCCTTGTACAGTAGCTGTGTGTATGTTTTATGCCTCTTTGAAATCATAAACGTGATGCCAGTACTGATCCCAGGCAAGTTTGAATCCTACCTGACACCCAGGCACACAACAGGCATGCAGTACACGTTGGTTGAATGGATGTTAACAGCCCGACTGAGCACAGACCGTACACTGCATCATTCTCTCAGTTAGGAGCCCGGTGTGTCTTTCCTTTTCTCTGCCGCCTCCTTTACATCTTCCTTGCCATGGGCCTCGCTGCTGTATTGGTAAAATATCTCTTCTCCTCTCCTTTCTCTGCTTCCCCCTTCATCCTCTTCACCTTGTCCCCCTCTCCGCCACCACCTTCCCTTTCTGTTCCTTCTCTCCCATCACCCATTATTTCCTCTTTCCATTGGCATAATCTGATACAGAAAATATATTTTTTCGTTAATTTCAAAAGCAGACAGTTAAAATATTTTCTATTGCTCTAAAAACAACAGTGGCTCTGTTACTTAATTATAAGGCCCTCAATTATTTTCCCTCTGGGCCCATGCCCTCAGAAGAAAGCATGTCCCCACCCCGTGATCCAAGATGAGTTGTGGGAGGGTTGCCGCCTTCACATGCCGGCAGTGCCCCTGTCAAGTGTGAGGTCTGGGCATTGGCAGGGGCTGGGGGCTGAGCCTCTCCTGCTTGCTGGCCACAGGTGAGTCACAGACCCCTCTGAAGGGAGTGTTCAGGAGTTCCCAATGCCCATCCAGGGCAGTGTTCCAAGAGAAGAGCTAAATATCTATTTACTTTATACTAATTTTTAAAATTAGTCATTTATTTGTAGTAATGGATACCATGATGCAGATGGCCTACGTTTTGATGAACATGTTCCGTGGCATTCCTTTTACAATTTTGCTTAAGATCCGTGCTTGTAGGCTGCCACATACAGCCACGTGGCTGGCTCTGTATAGCTGGAGGGGCGCCGAGCAGAGGCGACAAAGCATAGGTAGCCCCCCAGCTGTGAGACACAGCAGCCCCAGTGCTGCCAGGAAGACCAAGAAGACCACTTTTCATAAGTGTGTGAGTTTTATAGAAAATGAAAGTTACCTTCAGATGTTTTCTTTAGAAAATAGCATAAACACCAATAATGTTTCTCCTGTCATACTGTATCATCAGTAACAGAAAGTCCAGCCATGCTTTTAATTCTCCAAGAAGTAAGCTATACATTTGTCCCTCAGTGACTGTGAAGTAGATGTGAAAGAAAAAGACTAAGAAATTTTAATTTTACTAAAAATTGACCAAATCTCAAAATAAATCTTAGTCGTCAATTTTTTTTTTTAACATATTGAAGGGCTACTTTGTCTTCAGTTTTTTGCCAGCAGTTAGATTTGATTTTGAACGATTTTCATTCCTTTATGACTCTGTGTGGCTTTTATTTTTTCATCTTCATGAATATCAAGATAAATTATTGGTCTTTACATCATTTTTAAATTAATTAGATTACTCTAATTTTTGATGTTTCTGCTGAATGACCTTTATGGAATTGTTTCCTCCAAACCCACGCTATGGGCTGGTGACAAGATGTTCCTCATTTCTTGTGTTTCTGTAAAAGCCGTTGCTAGCATCCTGGCATCCTTGAATCTTCCCAGGCAGCTTGGAGTAGGTCTCCTAATGCAAATAAAACCAAAGTCTCATCTCTTAATCTTGGACCAGATTCAGAATCAGGTTTTGATTTCCTAACCTCTTTCTTACGTGCCATCTTTTCAAAAATTACACAGATTCATTTTAGTTTTATAAAGCTTTACTGCTGGGGATCCCAGAAGTAGTTCTCAAGCACATATTAAAATAACCTAAGGGAGGTTTAAAGTTTGCCCTTTTGTCCCCTCCCCCAAGGGGTTCTTTTTTTTTTTTTTTTTGCAGTATGCGGGCCTCTCACTGTTATGGCCTCTCCCGTTGTGGAGCACAGGCTCCGGACGTGCAGGCTCAGCGGCCATGGCTCACGGGCCCAGCCGCTCCGCGGCACGTGGGATCTTCCTGGACCGGGGCACGAACCCGTGTCCCCTGCATCGGCAGGCGGACTCTCAACCACTGTGTCACCAGGGAAGCCCCTCAAGGGGTTCTTTTGATGGGGATGGGATGGAGCACAGATATCAACATTTTTCCAGTGCATTCTAGGAGGTCCTAAGGTGTGGCCAAGGGTGAGAACCACTAAAATATGTGGGAACAAAGTTAGTTGGTTAAGGGAGATTTTGAAGGAGTAGTAACGGCAGCCCCTAGACTTTACTAAAATAAACATAAAACTAGATGTTCACCTTCTTGGTTCTGGTCTTGAAGTTAGTCCCACAACCTTGTCTGGGGATGGGCAGCCTCTCATTTCATAAATACAGTGTCTGGCTCCTCACTGCCGCTCAGTAGGCCTGAGTTTTGCTGCTTTCCTTCCATTCACTGCCTCCTGGTTGTGAAACCCAGATGTTCCCTCTGGCCTTTTAGTTGAGGACAGGGCTTCGCACTCTGGCCCAAAGACTCGCACCTAGGCTCCTAGCTCCAGGCGTTCTTCTCTTCACGTCCTTGCCTTTCCTGGGATTAGCTCTTTAGTTCTGCCCTCTAGGGCCATCTCCCCCATTATACTCTGTTTGCCTAAAGACTCTTCTTTAACAGCAAGGAGAGCCTTACCCTGGGGTAAAGTAAGATACCATGCCTCTTCCCCTAAGTGTATGTTTAAAGAAGAGCCAGTTTATGGCCTCAACGGTGAATGCCATTGTTTTAAGTTTGAAACTGGAGAGTTGATTTTATTGGCATGTCAGCATTTTAACAAGGACATTTGTATAGCATCCAGTATAATGGAAGTTTATGGGCAACAGATGACAGATCATGCTTTATAAAGAGGGAATATGAAAGAGGACAGACTCCCTTTGGAGAAAGGAGTCTGTATTCATAGAGTTTATATAGCCACACTGGGGACCGTCATTGGGAGTGCGTGCTACAGCTCTGTCCTCACTAAATGATAGTACATCATATACAATGTTTAGGGCTGGAAGGAATTTGGATGTTATCTGGACCTCATTTTGCAGCTGAAAAAAAATGGGGGGAAAGCAAGGTTAACCATAACAGAGCTTTATTGGTGAAAACAGAATGAAAACAAAGAGTTTCTGACATACAGTCTTTACAGAGTTATTATACTGTAATAAATTAACCAGATCATTTACCTTACTGAATTCAGGAGTAAGAATGAAGGGAACCATCACCTGTGTTTCTCTTCCAACATAAGCACCTCTGTCTGGTGATGAAGGGGCAGGCAGTAGCCTCTTCGGGGCTGCACCAGCTCGAGGGCAGCTATGGGGCACAGGTCTTCCGTCTGGGCTCTGCTGGCCGTGCTCGTAGCACTTGCAGAAGGAGACTTGCATGTGCCACATTGAGCTGTTCAGCCCCTCTGGAGAAGGCAGACCTGAGGCTGTGACCCTCCCTCTTTCTTCAGTGCAATAAGCAGGTACTGATGGAACCACCAATCAATTCTGAGTGTTTCCTTGGGTCAAATTCTGCCCAGAGGAAGAGACGTAAGAAGAAGGAACAGAGGAATCAACGCCAGAAGAATAAAGAGAGTGGAGGTGATTGTTTTTAAACGTCTACATGACTCAGCTGATTTCCTAAGTGAGCTTTGCTTCCCATTGGTGCTTCCTGCGGAGCCTCAAATCTGTACTCCTTCCTAGCAGGGGAGGAGGTTCACACATGAGTGGGGGAAGAATGCATCCAGCATCCAGAAATTACTTTGAGTCTTTAATGGAAGAGGAGGAATTTCTGGTCAATACTGGGCTTGAAAGCATGAATTTTATTGCTAGTATTGCTGTGTGCTGAGCAGCCCTCCCAAACTGGCTGAAAAAAAGTCTAATCAAATGCCTGGGAAACAAAAGACTCAAATCCTACTGTTTTTTCCTTTCAATAACATTTCCTAGTTAGACTCCAAGGAAGTTACGTATGTCACTAAAGAGATGACACTTAATGTCAGATAGAAATGGTTTCTAGCCCTCCGAGTGTGCGCTAAATCATCATGACACCGTAAATCTGTACAGATCAACAATTCAAAGCACTTTCAAGCTATGATTTCCTTCAGTCCTCCCAACATGTTTGGTGAAATAGGCCTTTTGATCTTAATTGACAAATGGGGATCTTAATTGACAATTGACTTGGGTTCAGGACAATTCCATGATTTGCCTGGTTTATACATTAGCTTGGGTAGTAGTGGACCAGGGCTGGGACTCGGGTCTTCCCACACCTAGTCCAAGGCCCTTTTCCCCACACCCTACTGCCTCTGTCACC